TCAAGTTATGCCCAGGGTCACAGTTCAGCTCCTGTTGTCTGCGTGTTAAGATGTAGAACACTCAACCCCCTCTCCAGCACCATGTCTATGTGAATGCCATCATGTTTCCCACCATGATGAACATGACTGAACCTCTTAAACTGTAAGTCACCCAACTACATGTTGTCCTTTGTAAACATTTCTGGGGTCGTGGTGTCTCTCCACAGCAACTGGAACCCTAATTTAGACACATACATTGCCTATTTCCCTTTTGATCACACCACCAGTTGCCTTCAAGTTTAATTCCTTCCTTTTCTCCGCGAGGCAATAGATTTGTTTGTGAAGGTCTTTACATTTCTGAGAGTCTACACTCTTGTACTGAAAGCACTCATGAGAAAATGCTCTAACATGCTTTTGTTTCATTTGAAAACAACATTGACTCATTAGGTGCTCATGATTAATTTCAGATTCTGTCTTGCATGTACGAGAGAAGTCATTTATTCAGCATAGGCAGGCTCACATCCCTTATAAAATGAGGTATGGTATCAATTTATTAACTACACAGCAGAACATCAAATGTTAAGCACAGGAGAGTGGCAATCATGATGGATTATGAGAATCATTGCGTGGTAAGAAATCTGAGCATAGAGCTAACATTAGGGAAGACTCTGCCCTGGAAACAAAGAAAAGCAGCCTTGATGCATTACTTATCCTCCACATTAGGTCCTCACAATTCACACAAACAACAGACAGCAGTAACACTGGGGCACGGCCGCCCTGGGCTTGCAGTTGGCTGCCCATCTGATTATTTATTTTTCTGTAGTGCAAAGCTTGAACTCTGTGTATGCTGCAACCAAGCTTAGGTTGGGTAGCATACACCTACTCCTTAGAGGAATGTCTGCCTGTGCCGTTCAGTGACGGACTCCACACACCTAGACCAGTGTCCAGGATGTTAACATGGTAAATATCTTGCATAGATGGTCTTGATTTCATTTGCTGCCTTAAATAAATGAGAACGTGTGTGTGTATGTATGTGTGCATGCATGCATTGCGTGTGTGCATGCATGTGTGCGTACATGTGTACGTGTGTGCTTGCACATGTATATGTTTCCGTGTATATATGTGTGCACGTATGTGTGTACATGTGTGTGCGTGTATGTGCGTGCGTGCGTGTGTGTGCATGTGTGTGTGTGTGTTTGTGTGTGTGTGTCGGTTAGAGGTCTACCTCAGATGTTTCCTTCAGTTGCTCTCCACCTTATGTTTTTGAGACAATGTCTCTCACTGAACTGGCAGCTAGCCAGCTCTCAGGATCCTCTTTGCATAGGTAGCTCCAGATAAGGTCATAGACCCTGAACTGGCAATTAGATTGTTAGTCAGTGAAAAACAACAAAGTAAATAAGACAAAATCAAAGATAATTGATGTCTCTTTGGTTCCACTGTGAAGAGTACTTAAAAATGGAGGCTCTGGTTGTAGTGGCGCACGCCAGGTAGGAAAGTACGCCGAGGAGACAGAGGCAGGAGGATCGTCACAACTGGAGGCTCAGTAAGATTTTCACCTAGGATCAACGGGATGGTTTGACTGCTAAGGTATTTGTAGCCAAACACGAAAATCTGAGTTGGATCCCAGGAACACAGGGGGTGAAAGGAAACAATTGTGTTTGCAACCTTTTCCTTTGACCTCCACATATGGCCATATACACACCATACCACAACCCCCATCACACACACACACACACACACACACACACACACACACACACACACTGTAAAAACTGAATTTAGAAGAATGAAAACATCTATGTGTAAGTTATAAATAGAATACAAATACCCGAGAAGAGCTATTAATAAACCTGCTTCATGTGTTTATTCCTCTTAAAACTCAAAGCAGAGTGGTCGGCTTCTTGCCCACATCAAAGCAAGCCAGTGGGCTGAGAAGGAGAGCAACGACAGCTCCGGTTAGCATCTCTCTTCTCGTGCCTGAACACAGTCTCCAAAAATGTTCTTGAATGAGCAACAAACACAGAACAGCAGAAACAGAACAGGAAGAGAAAGCCACAAGAGCAGCCAGCCACGACAGTGTCATATCCACTTCCAGTTTTCCTCAAACCGTTTCTTTTCCTGGAAGAGCACAGTTAGTAAGCGCTCTGGGCTCAATGTGTGGGTCTTTGTGGTTTTGTCCCAAGTAGATCAGTGAGTTATCTTTTTCTTTCTTCAAAGCGTGAACTCCCAACACAAATTATGCAAGCTTTCAAATAGCATTCATGGTACAAAAGTATCCAAAGGAAGGATGGATTAGAAAGGATGAAAGCAAGACAGCAGTGTCCTTCAGAGATGGGTGAGCATTTCGGGAAGCTCCGATCACGTGTGCACTCATTGAGACTCAACATTTTTACACTGTAAAGCAATCTCGCCTCGGCCTGCTTATGTAAGAACTCAGGCCCCTAAGGGAGAATTATGATCAAGGGTACAGAGATTAGGTTGAAAATTCCCTATTGTAAACAGACTGGTCTCCACCCTGAAAAGAAATGAATAGAGCCAGAGACAGAAAAGGAGAGAAAACTTCATCTTCACACAGACTGAGAGAGGCTGAGCATTCTGAAAGGAAATGGGAGGAAGGGACAGGGCCCGGCCCAGGCTCTGCCACAGAGAGGATTTTAGACCAAGTTTTGTTCCTTATTATCAATGAAATTCCCGTGCCATTCCTTGGGAAGCTGCAGTAAGAATTCAAATGTCTTCCAATTATTTCTGGTGTCATTTGTTCATTTATTACACAAATATTTACTGACAGAGATCATGTCTCAGGACTGTTTATTACTACCAGCTTTAGTAGGAATGGGCTTTATGGCGAAAGAAAGGTTACGAAAACACAAGGACTCCAGAACAGGACAACCATGTTTTAAAACTACAATGTCTGTTCTTTAAGAACATCTGCTTAGAAGGCACACGATACGGCCATTACAGAAAAAAATACGCCGAGTCCATAAAGTCAGAAGTAGCAATCTCACTTCCGGGTACATGGCCGATGAAAATAAAATCAGTTTGCCAAGGACACACCTGCCTTATTCTTAGTAACCGGGACATGTGGGGGACCAAGGCCCTACCAGCAAACAGGTGAGGAAATCGCCATGCAGGTACACACAGGATGGTTAGCCTTTCAAATGATATTCCATCACTTCTGTAACATGCACATCCTGGAGGACATACTGCTAAGTGAAAAAAAAAAGGCCATGTATAAAAAAGACCAACACTCCCTGGCCTCACGGGGGAATTCAAACGAAAAGGTCAATTTCACAGCAGCTGAGAATAGGATGGAAGCTGCCGGAGGCTAAGGGTGAGGGAGACAGAAGTATCTATTTAAAGGGTATCTTGTTTCACTCAGATAGGATGAAATTTATGAATATCTATTGTACGAGCTGGTGACTATAATTGATAATCATGTGAGACTCATAATTGTGCTGACTATGAAAGACTAGAAGTATTTGAGGTGGGCGGAGTCACTAGCTGCAGCCAGCACTTCACAGGGGAAGCAGACACTGAAAACCTTTCAGCACTCTGGATGCACACAGCGATGCCTCCATTTCTCCATGTGAACTTCTGGAACACAGTGGTGCAGTGGAGGCTGACCGTTCCCTGGACGACTTTTTCCCCACAGTGTGCAGTAACACTGCTCCATCCTCTAAAGGTTAAAACAAAACCCTCCTGGATCGCTCACAATCTGTGATTAAGTGCAACCGAATTCCAAATGCTGTTTGCCTGAGAAACGTCTTCCACCCAAACGCACAACCAGCAAATCTGCCAACAACAGTAACCCAAGGCTGCTTTCATTACAAATGTGGTCTTTGCTTTTAAAAAATTAAATAAATCCGTCCGATGTGTCCCTAGATAATGACCCACATAAAGCACTCGCTGTGATCAGCAATGGCATTTGCTGTGTAGGGAGTGCCAGGAAGGGAGGCACAGGGCTGACCATGGCCTACAGGGACATCTCTGCTGTGAACAGAACGCCGAACAGCTCATTCTTCAAGCTCTTCCGGGGAGGGGAGTCTAGATGACGAGTGTGCCGTCTTTTTAAAAACAATTTGCTAAATACTAAGATCCTACCTCCTGATTATGGCTGACTTACATATTCTTGGCAATGTTACTGCCCTGTGGGCCTGAGAATGACAGTTGAGGTTCTCGGTTAAGATGAATTTTGAAAAGGCAGAGATAAGCAGACTAATTTCCTACTAAAGTATGTTTCTCTGATCTTTGAAATGTTAAGGGCTCCACGTCAGTGAATTATTTTGAGCAAGGAAAATTTTGCCTTGTAAAGACCACAGGGTAAACAACGTAGTCCCAAGCTGGAGGGAGCGCCCCTTGCAGGCAGGGACGGTGACTGTGTGGTGGAGCTGGGTCCAAGGGCAGACCAAGTGCATTGCTTTTCCTGTGCATTGCTGGCTCGCCATATCTGTGGTCGTCACAAATGAGACGATGTACGACTAGCTTGGCATCTGGCTTCCACGGTAGAATGTCCTCTTGAAGGCTAACCAGCTGTACACACATACAACACTCTGTTAAAGTAAAAATGCCTTCTGTCCATTTCTCAGAGCCGATAAAAAAGGGGGGGCGCGGGAAAGAAACAAAAACTTTGGTTTTGCTTGTAGCCTTATTTGGGGGACCAAATATCTGTAATTATTTCCAATGTTATTTGAAATCTTAGGTCTTATATCCAAATATTGCAAACATTATTTTGGTGACAACAAACACAGGAAGGAGAAAGTAATGTCTGAAATATTTATTTCTAGAAAACTCAGACCACTGGGTTCTTTGGAAGATAGACAGTTACTGTGTTTGGGAAATAAAAAGAATCCCAATACGGGATGATTGGCATTATGATGAAACTGGGGTCTCTAAAGATCCCAAGATCTCGGTGAGCAGAGGTGAAACTAATCCTGGTCTTGGCTAACAAAGCACCAGCCCGTTTCAGACACACAGTGGAGGCCTCTGGGCTTCTCGGGTGAAGCTGTCCCTAGATCACATACCTGTAACGGAGTCAATGGAGAAGAGTGACGGCAAGTCTCCTGGGATGAGTTCATAGGTCACGGTCCCGTATGTCCCAGAGTCCCTGTCACTGGCGAGCACGTTGATGATCTCAGTGCCTGGCGGGGTCTGGCCACTGATGCTTGTCACGTAGGTCGACGGATTAAAGATGGGCGGATTGTCGTTCACATCCTCCACTTCCACCCGGACAAAAGCTTGAGCACTGAGACCACCCTGTGAGATGAACGAGCGGTGATTACAACTGGGCATCTGTGGATGCCGGGACCCAAGGTAAGTCAGAGCAAGCCCCAAACAGACTTGAAACAGCAAAGCGGTGTGTGTGGGGGGGCATGGCTGTGTGATACTGAGATAAAATAACTAAAAACGACCCTAAAACAGACTTCTGAAGCAATGGAACATACATATTCATATAAATAAATCTTGGTTGTGCTCTTGGGTTATGAATTCCTATCCATTGTTATAGTAAAAAATGTCATTAGGAAATGACTTGAGGAATGGCAGCTATTGAATGGAGCTAGACTTGTATTATCTGGGGAATAAATGCTTCTCAAACAGGTGAAAGAATGAAATACAAAAACCCCAAAACAAGCAAGTAGTGTCTGAGCTGGTCTGTTCAGGGACAGAAAGAAGGCACAGGTCTCATGTTAGAGGCTAGAGTTCTATGGAGATCACTGGGGCCGGCAGGTGACCAAGGCATTTCACCATTACAGAGTTCTGAGCACAGAGTTGACTTGGCTCAACTTTAGTTTCAACTGCTGGCTGAGGTGCTCAGAACAGACAGAAAGTAATGAGGGCTAAAGTAGGGAGCTGCTGGGAGGCTGTGCAGTCACCAGGTTTGAAATGGATGGTGACCCTTGTTGAGGAAAGGGATGGCAAAGCAGCTTGTCCTTCAGCAATGGGGTCTCACTGCCAAGTTCTGGAGGGTGAAGAAGAGTATTGGAAATAGCCTGGAATGCTTGGAGCCATGTGAGATCTGGCTAGCCAACAACTCCAAAAGAGGTAGACCATTCCCAATCTTTGTTGGGTAGACCAGACCCTTATTGGCTTCAGCGTGGTTTTCTTGAGTCGCAGAACCCAAAGAGATCAAGATGTCACTCTGCTGAAGGCTCCATTCCTACTGGCTGGTTTCCACAGGGCTGAAAGGCGCTAGTCACACGACCAGAGGAGAGAAGCAAGTGTCGGTCTTTAGCAGCTGTGAGCTCTGTGAAGCACAGTAACAACTGTCTGAAGACATGCCCACTCGTGCAGCAGTGGCATGGACGGCATGGGAGAGTAGCTAACCACCTTCGGGTAGCATTTGAAGGGGTGATCCACAAGTTGAAAGCCAGACATGGCACCGTTACTGGAGCCAAGAACCTCGGCGAGGTGGCCTATAGGCTCTAGTGGAGAAACTGCTTCTGCTATTTGTTAAATTAGCATAGCATTAAACTGGCTCCTAGTGACTTATTGCTACCACTATAGATGAGCACATCTCAGGTCTCCTCAGAGATCACAGTGTAGAAACTCAGAGACTGCAAATGCTCAGCTCTATTCTCAAGGCATCTGTATCTATCCCTTCCTCCCAAGGCTCAGAGATGCTTGGAATACAGCAGGCAGAGAGGTGACAGTCAGAGTCTGAGACAGTGGATACTACGACAAGATGGAGACTTACAAGCACAACTGGACAGTTCCACGTATGGTACGGGAGAATTGTCTGTATTCTGTCAATTATATTTTAATTAAACGCTGATTGGCCAGGCAGGCAGTATAGGCGGGAAAGCCAGACAGGAAGTAGGGGTGGAGCAAAGAGACTGGGAATATTCTGGGAAAACAGGAAACTCCCTCCGCACTCCTGCGCAGACCACCTAAGAGGCAGCATGTAACTTGCCCAGCTGAGAAAGGTACAGAGCCGTGTGGCTAACATAGATCAGAATAATGGGTTAAGATAAGTCATAAGAACTAATAAGTAGCCTGACCTAATGGGCCAATCAGCTTTATAACTTACAGAGTTCTCTGTGTGATTGATTTTCTCTGGGACTTGCCGGCTGTGGGGTACTGGGCGGGAACAGATACCCCAACAAGCCGGCCCTCATGCTACACACGTATAAACTCATGGAGGCCGTAACAGTGTGACAAAACTTTTGTGAGTTCAAGTCAGGTAAGATTCCAGCGTGGAGAGGCGAGGGGCGTGAGTCCCAGCTCTAGCTAAGGAGCTATTAGTAATCAATAGCTATTGGGAGAGGGAGGGCGGCCTTGTTAAGGGTACAGACCCCGGTAGGTGGGCCACACTCCAGTGGAAGGCTAGATACCCACGCATAGAAGAGTTGTACTTAATGGTTTGGGGGCTTGTTTGGTTTTTTAAGAAGACACAGATTTGTGTGAATAGAGAAGGGAGAGAAAGGAGGCAGATTTGGAAGGAGTTGGGTGGTAAATATGATCAAGGTATATCACACAAAATTCTCACAGGACCAATAAAAATGGCAGGAGAAGCAGTTTCTCCTTCTCCCTGCAGTCATGTGGCTTAGGGATCCTGAAATGTCCTGGTTTTCAGAAAGGTTGTACAGTACATAAAGCACTGGGAAGCGCATCCCAGACTGTGTAGTTCATGCTGGCTCCGCCTAAAGCCAGAGGGGAGGGAGTAGATACAATCGAAGGATATCTCCTTGGTTCTCCCTGTTCTAAAGGAAAACATCTGTTCTTGCTTCCCGGTCCTATTTCCACGTCTATCTGGCACATCTTGAGACTCTCAGTCCAGACAAAAGTCCTTGGTAAGTCACAGCAGTGCGCGGAGAGGACGTTTCTCTCGTTTGTGTCCGCCCCCACCCCCCTCCTCTTTTCCTTCTTTTTGCTGCCTGGCTCTGCTCTGGAGAAGGGCATCAAGAAGAATGGAAGAGAAAGGACAGCTCAGAAGGCTTGGAAAGAAAAATGGGCTACGCAGACACCCAGAACAAGTGTGGAGGGGACAGGCCGAGAAAGACAACAGAACTAATAAGCTAATCATGAATCCAGCAACAGCGCTCACCACTGTCCTGTGTATGCCGTCCTTGGGGGATTGAAAGATTAAAGATATAATGCGATTTCCCGTGTTCTGAGTCTAATAAAGTGCCAGAGTCCTACCAGCTGCATTTAGAACTGAAGGGACAGTAGCTGGCTAGGACCATAATGAAAACAATACGAATTTACCCACCTAGCTGTGTGCTGATACCGAAAACCAGCTAACCTGCAGGAGTCCAGAGAGGGGTGGGGAGAGGGGACCGCAGGCTGGCTAGGAGCATACAGAAAATAACCTTGACATCTGGCGTGGAGCCTGCTGGTACTCACAATGGCCTGCCTTCTCAGCTTTGCTTGCCCTGTATTCTTTCCTAGTTTTTCCTTCAGCTTAAACAGCTCCTTAGGTTGAAAGAAGGACCGAGAAAGCCAAACAATGAAAAGAGAGAGGACAATGCAAAGGGAATGCGACACCCTTAGCCACCCTTCTATAACAAACACCTTCATTTGGCTAGGATCCTGATACGGGAATCCTATGAAAACAATCGAAGGCCAGCTGGACAAGAGAGGGCTTAAACATACTGTCACGGAACAAGGGACCTTCTGCAGGCTGAGTACGAGCTTGCGGCGTCTCTTGTGTATAAACCCAGTGAGCACCTGCTAAATCCCTCGGGCGTGGGGTTCTTCCTATAATAACCAACTCCAAATGCTTTCGGTTTGCTTTACGGCGATTGCTCTCTAAGTTGTTACAATCTCACCTTTTTAAGGTTGCTGTGGCTTACTTAAGGTTGCTATGGTTTTCCTCCCACAGCGATAAGAAATTAAGGCACAGAGCAGCCCAGGGGTCAGTTCAAGGTACCAAAGACTGAACAGCAGGTCTAACCTGGAACAAAAACTTTGCTTGTCCTCTGAGCCCTTAATGATTTCTTGTAAACTTTTCATGTTTCAAAATTCTGCTGTGGTACAAAGCCCCTCTTCCACGGAGATGCGCTTAGAGACTGAAGTAGCCCCAGTGCCTGTCACCGGCTCCATCACAGGTAAGAAGAGGAAGACAGGCTGCCAGTTTCAAGGAACGTGGTCCAGGATACAGCTCCTCTAGCAGTCTTCCCGTCTCACAGTGTAAAGACAGAGAGCCCAAAGTGCGGGGCATAAAGCTCTATCCACCCCATTTGCAAGACCAGAACTGCAGAGAGGCAGCCCAACCCTAGACTAAGCTAACTCTTCTGGAAAGCGTGTTAGGTGGGCTCCGGCACCTGTGATTCCGCAGGCCTGCCACTGACATGAAGGACATTGAATACAGACAGGGGCATTGACAATACTTCATAACTGTCAGCTATAAGGTCCGCCACACAACTTTCCTGAGGAGAAAATAACTATTCTATGTCTATCCACCCCAGATAGAGGGGGCGACTACAGGTCAAGGGAAGGATTCCACCAACAAAGAATTCTGTCTAGCTTGGCGAACCAGGAGATTCACTGGAATCTCAGAGAGGAGCAGGGTAGCTGGGGCAGCTGCATCTCTGAAGCAGCACAGCCTTGTGAGATTGACAGCTCACGAAAGCTGCTATCACTTGGGTCCTCTCCACAGCCTGCTCACACAACTCAAGCGTCCCCTTCTCCCAATAGTGTTTACCCTGTAGATTGCATATCCCAGAGAGGGGAGACAGGAACCTCATGGGTTGTATTCTCCCTCCATGCAGAATGTGGGTGGTTCCAACCTCAGAAGGGCCATCTGGAGGTGGCCCAATGGCTCTGATTCAAGAGAGCAACAGTAAGCTTGTTTGACCCAGAGGGAATGGCCATACTAGATCTTATAGGTTTTGTATTCTAAATACTTATGGACAGATAGCTTTGTCTAGGATTTCAAAGCATTTTGACTTTTGGAGAAGTAAGGCAATGCTTCCCGTTGGTAAAATACACTCTGCAGGGCTGGCAAGGCGGCTCCAAGGTAATGCTGCTTGCCATCCAAGCCCGGGAACATGAGTTGGAGCCCTGAAGCCCACATAAAATGGGAGAGAGAGAACTGGCTCCACAACATTGTCCTCTTACCACACCCTTAACATGGTACGCATGCGCACTCCGTGTGTGCATACGCATGGTAATAATAAATAATTTTAAATGTGGCGTGTAAAGCCTTGGTGTATATTTTTATTTGCTTATATTTTCAAGATATTTATTTTATGAATAGAATATTTATGCTGAAAATATCATAAAAATGAGACTTAGAAAAATAAAATTCAAAGCTC